CTCCTCCTCTCCCCAGCGCCCCTCTGGGTGGGGGGTGGCACCGCCACCGTGCACAGTCCGCAGCCTCGTCATGTGCCTAGGTAGGAGACGTGCCGCCCAGGAAGGCAGGGCCGTGTGCGGGGGGACCGACTGCACATGCCTCACGCCAGCCCTGTTCCCCACCCCCTCTGCGCTTATCCTGAGGAGCCACCACCGATGGGGCCGATGTGCTGGGAGGTTGTCCTGAGGGACCGCCATGTGGATTTGAACAGGGGTCTGTGGCGGACTAGCGTGCGGTTTATTCCCCTCAGCCTAGGCCCAAATGATACCGTATACTAGGACAATGGGGAAGCTGAGCTAGCTGGATACTGAAGACCCGATTCAAAGACCAAGGCCCCGTTGTGCTGTACACACAGTAAAGAAGGGCATTTGGGGGAAGGGGCGAATTCCATTGAAATGTTCCTCACTTTAACTGAGTTGAAACGACAACTTGTGGCGGCTGTTGCAAACCGTTTATAGTTGCGCTACTGCTGAGAGGTGGAGTGTGAGACATGCTGAGCATTAGCAAGATACGAATCATCGTAATCATCCCCAATTTACTCCTCCGTGTGTATGTTGTTTATCCATTTCAAGTTTCCAGCATCTTCCCTGTGGGAGGAAAAAAGTTGGTTTCATCCCCCGCACCCAGAAAGACACTTACTTGTGCTGAATGTTCCCGTGAAGGTTGCTTTGGCTTGGGATTTGTGGTACCCCGTAATTGTGACGTGATATTTCTGCCCACTTCTGAGGCCGCCAATGACCCGTTCAGTGCTGGTTAAGTTTAGCTTCAGGACTAGAGAGTGGTCGTGTGCTGAGGTGAGGGTGATGTCAAAGAAGTCGAGGGGCAGGGGCCCTGGGTTCACCCAGCGTAGTTTAGCGCTGTTCTCGGTGATGTCGGTGATCTGGATTTCACTCTCCGCTTTAACTGCAGTACAACACAAAACCAAATCAGAGGCTGCCAAGAAAAAAGCTGTAGGGAGGGGTTTGGCGCATCAGGAATTCTAGTCCAATTAGCTGTTGCTGAGGAGAAAGAGAGGGAGGTTAATCAAGATGTACCAAACAGATTATTGAATACTGAGCTACAGTCATGGAGGACGATTGTCCTATGACCTGGCCCTCTGCTAGGGTTAGTCTGCATTTAAAATACCACAGCAGCATAGCTACCCCACTGCAGTGCTTTGGGGTAGACTATACCTATGCCAAGGGCAGAGTTTTCCTGTCAGCATAGACAATCCATCTCCCTGAAAGGTGGTAGCTAGGTTAATAGAAGAATTTCATCAACCTAGTGCAGAGGGATGTAGATCAACCTACAGAGGGATGTAGGTCAACTTGACTATGCTGCTCAAAGAGGTACATTTTTCACACCAATGGGTCATGTAATTATACCAGCCTAGTTTTCTAGTGTAGACTAGACCTTAGTCTGCTATCTCCAGTTTATCACTCCAGGGTGGGAACTTAATAAAAGAATGCCCATAATGGCGTGTTACATCAGCTCCTCAAAATAAGCAACATGGTTCTAAATGGTGCATTTCCTCAGTACTTTTCATTCACATACACGTCAGGGTCTTTCTAGAGACTAAGCTGGAGATGGGTGGAGCTGCAAAAATGTAGTCATGAACGTTTCTTTGAATAAAGGATGTAAGTTGGCTTTCCCACACTTATAGGCACCACCGTTGGTTTTGTTCAAAAGAAAATTGACAAAGTCAAGTCTTCGGGGTGGCGGGGAATCTAGGATCATGTGAAGGCCTGTGACAGAAGTATTCGCATGGTGAACACCGAAACATTTCTGCTTTCCTTCTTCCTCTTTCGAAAAGTCGGAATGCCCATTTATCTGATGTGACAGGTCACCAAATCTTACTCCATGGATAAAACCAGTGACTAGGCAAAGATCTATTCAAAGCAAACATCTCAGAAGCAAACTGGAGTATGTTTGTCTGATATCCCTACCAAGTTGAAAGTGCAAGCCAATCTGCAACCATCAGCGGGCCACAGCTGATAGAAACTGGCATAGCTCCACTGACTTCTGAGTTACACCAGCTAACCCAACGTCCACCCAAGGGTAATTTATGCCCAGAGAGTAGGTCTGACTGATTCAAATTATTTACAGTGAGGAGTTTGCCTAGCTCTGGACAAAGCCATGATAGAATGTGGGGTAAATCCACTAGAACTGCTGACTGAAAACTCCAGTGACTCACCAGACGGCTGCTCCCCTTCAGAAGAAGTTGACCCCTAGTGAAAGTGTAACACATATTTACATTTAAACATG